AAGTGCCTTTTATGTGAGATACTCGGCCATCTTTATTGATATACCCTATCCCCCCACACCAGTTTGAAATTCATTATATTGTTTAACTTACAAGACTTATATTAAAGTAAATATACTGACAACGTTTAGCTAAGTGTGATTCATGCGATGTAAAATAAACTTCTCCATCAATAATTCATCATTCAAAATAGAAAAGGTCATGTGAAATTCTTATTCTTCTTATATTATTCTTATATTCTTATTCTTACCTTATTTCAAATGCACAAACAAACGATTGCCACTCAACTCGTTAATAAATCAACTAACCTGGTAACTACCCTCACCAAATTGTACGGCCCAATAGTATATTAATTGTATACATATTCTGTACAAAAAGTATACTTTTTTGAAATTGTGTACATTATTTGTATACAAAATTCAAACATACAAGAAAACATTATTTGTTTACACACTTCATACAAATTCATTAATGTATATTTGTTGTATACTAGAAATGTACAGACTTTTTGCATAGGACTCAATGCCTAAATATTGTATAATTTACATATATACATAAAATGTACAATATCATGACTAAGAAATAATTTAAGAGTAACCAAAAAAATGTATGTATACATTAATTGTACAAATTATTGACTTGGCTTCTTTACAAATATTTGTACTATTTATGTATACATAAAATGTACAAAAATTGGACTTAGAATCTGAATAAACTTAACTAGGCCCAATAATACAATATATATATATACATAAACTGTACAAAAATATGGATTTAATATTCAATTAAATTCATAAGAGAGTACATGAATAAAAACATTTTTAATAGATTAATTACAGGAATACTAATTTAAACTATATTTTTGGATATCAGTAAAATTATATTTTTACTACAGTTTACTGAAATAATTCAGTCATTATAAGAAGAGTGTATAACACATTTCCCAAGAGAGTTGTTTGCCTAATTTGCTTATATTAAAAATTATCCTGTTTTGGATTCTAACATGACTTATTGCCAATTTTTATGAACTTTTTAGCATTCGTAGACGAAGTCTGCCGAAGGCTTATATATCGGGTTCCGCCCGTCCGTCTGTTCGTCTGTCCGTCTGTCTTTTACCTCATAACTTTGATATGCTCTGTCCAATGTTTTTCCAAGTTGGTGCAAATGTAATTCTCAATGCCATACATATGCACGCCAAGTATTTTTTTGATTCGCCAAAGTTTTATTGTGTTTTTCTGTGATTTTCAACATTTTACTAGTACAAGTGCCGAAATTTGCCGGAAAAATCCGAGGTTTAAAGACATCTCGCTAGAGAACTAGCATAACGTATTGCGCATGCGCCAGTCCAACTGTTGAGGAAATCGGTGTCGTTTTCGTCTGAGGATATTGTATTCCGGGACTGTATCGTTCTTTGCACAAGGCTTATATAGATTAAAGGTAAGAAACTGTACTTATAGTATTTATTATGAACTTTGATTTATCTATTCCTGTGTCCTGACTTTACTGAGAAACTAGCGATCGCACAGTGTCACACTTTGCCAGAAAAACAGTCCTGCTATTAGTTCAAGAACTGGTTATGAAACGTGTAAATCGAAAGTTTATCTCACCATTTATTTCGGTACTGAAGTCAGGGTGGCAATTTCAATGTTTAGCTATCATAATTTATCTCCATTATGAGGAGGAAAATAAATTACAGACCTCGATTGAGATGGATTTAACGGCGACCATGTTTTTTATTGTTGACATTGTGCATTAAGGATATGTGAAACAATATTAGGGAGGGTGTCAAATTCACGTAATCCTCAATTTTAATGATGTTGACTTAATAGTCATAATTTTTTTTCAAAACTCTGGATATTATTTTCTATATTATTTTAATACAACTACAATATGTTAATTAGTATGCAAATTTATATGCAAATTAGCAGCCAATCTGAGACAATTTTCTAGGATGAACACTGCAATCCAGTTCAAAGAAAATTTGACATACACTTAGCTTACATGATCACTACCTCTGCTGATTAGTTTTTTATGCACTTCTATCTGCTTTTATATTAAATGTATTATTTTTTTGTATTTTTCTCAATAGTATTTTTTTATTTCTTTTGATAGCTTGGCATCCATTTGGTTCAGCTCAAGTGAAATTTTTCGGCCGTGGTCAGATTTTAATGACATTGAAAACACAAGTACTCTGGCTTTTTGCACATTCTTAATATTTTATTTTTGCAGAATCCCGTGAGTATTAATTTGACAACTTTGTAGAGTGGAAACAGACTGGTGAATTAGTTCATCCTAGACTTTGGTAGAACATGTTTAAAATAGTACAGTGCAATTTCTTTCTGGCTGGTATAAATTTATAAGTAATATTTTTCGTACTAAAAAGACTCAAATATCTTTTTTAATTAAATCTAACAGCCAATGGGAGCACATATGCTACAACCTCTGCCTACTTTGGACTAAATTTTATTTATTTTATTTTTTTTTTAGGTGCAGAGCCAGAATTTTTTTCTCAGAAAGCAAAGCCACTGGAACTGCATGTATTACAAAAACATACTGGTACTATTCGCTGCGTGTCTGACAATTGTATAAAGTTTCGCAGGTCCTCTTTTTTTACTTTGAGAAGTTCTGTCAACCAAAGCATAAATCTGTACATAAAATTTCACATGATTTGTTAATATTAATGTATGATAATAAAAACTTGATAATATTTTTCTGGATTTTTGCACTTTATTTGTATCATTGTCATATGAGAAGTAATCTTGTCCTTATTAGAGATATTGAAACTAATCCAGGGCCACAAACTAATTTATCCAAACAGACACAACACTGACTCTACATATTTGCAGATCTGATTTGTATACTTCCTTGTCATTTTACCTGTTGTACTAGTTTGGTGCTATCTGGTTTTCTTGCTGAGAATAATGCTGACCTGGATGGAGAGTGCTATAAACTTGAAAATGCCATAGAAATCATGTTTGCCAATTTATGTCCATGCAACTTTAGAATGACAACTAGCGAAGACAGTGTCATTCATGACTTGTTCTTGATCAATTTAACTAAATTAAAATTTAATTTCCCATTATATATCCAGTTTTGGCATTTTCAGTTGAGCAAAACACAATGAAATAAATCAGTATTACTCTCACCACAACCTGTTTGTTGTACATCTTTGGCTGACATATATGGTAAACAGATACAATATATGATGTAAATGAATGTACCATAGTCAGTCGGGTAAGCATAAACAATTGATCTCTAAATGTAAGTATAGATAAATATAAATACATGCTGTTGTGTAATAAGACCATACACTTGGGCAAATGAAACACCCAATGAAGTTGAATTTCAGTTTGTTAAATAATTGCCCTTTTTATGAATTGAGCTTTGTACAATTTTTGTATACAAAAGTGTTTCAAATATGGAATACTTCTTGTATACAAAAGTATATTTTTTGTACACTATTTGCATACTTGTTCAATGTGTTCCTCTGTTATATAGGTCTGTATTACAATGGCACTAAAGGTTCCTTAAAATGTTTTGATGTTGACACTGAATTTGTAGAATGTGCTGACCCTACAGGATGTGGAGTAGGCCCTGATAGCATGGCATGGGATTACCAGGTGAGTACAGGGTGTGGAGTAGGCCCTGATAGCATGGCATGGGATTACCAGGTGAGTAGAGGGTGTGGAGTAGGCTATGATAGCATGGCATGGTATTACCAGGAGAGTAGAGGGTGTGGAGTAGGCCCTGATAGCATGGCATGGGATTACCAGGTGAGTAGAGGGTGTGGAGTAGGCTATGATAGCATGGCATGGTATTACCAGGAGAGTAGAGGGTGTGGAGTAGGCCCTGATAGCATGGCATGGGATTACCAGGTGAGTAGAGGGTGTGGAGTAGGCTATGATAGCATGGCATGGTATTACCAGGAGAGTAGAGGGTGTGGAGTAGACCCTGATAGCATGGCATGGTATTACCAGGAGAGTAGAGGGTGTGGAGTAGGCCCTGATAGCATGGCATGCGATTACCAGGAGAGTATGGGTTGTGGAGTAGGCTCTGATAGCATGGCAGGGTATTACCAGGAGAGTAGAGGGTGTGGAGTAGGCCCTGATAGCATGGCATGTATTACCAGGAGAGTAGAGGGTGTGGAGTAGCCTCTGATAGCATGGCAGGGTATTACCAGGAGAGTATGGGTTGTGGAGTAGCCTCTGGTAGCATGGCAGGGTATTACCAGGAGTGTACAGGTTGTTGAGTAGACTCTGATAGCACAGTATGTGAAGGAAGTAAAAATGGATGGATATGCTACGATTACTGATGACCACCAGATTAGTGCATGTCGTATTCTAGCTAAATACAAGTTAAATATGTGGTATTATGTAAAAAATGTACCAAATTAGTTAGGGCATTTTAATTTGCATAGTTACTAATTGTGTGTCATGATATGACATCTGTGTTCTATACAAATCAAAAAAGAAGAGCAAGTCAGTTTTTATGAAGATCAGATAAAATCATACACATTTACCAATATTATAATGTTTAGGATATGTTTTTATTTTTGAGGGAGGATTCCTCTAACCATAATTGTGCCATAAATTTCAACATGAATCACCAGGCGTCAACTTATATTGTGACACCTTGATATTATGCCCCAGATCATTTAAGAATTTGTGAATAATTATCAAATCTTACATGACAAGCAGTATTTTCTTAATCAGGGAGCAATTGCCATTTCACTCATTTGAAATTCATTTACTTAACCTATTATCTCAGTTTTTACTGTAAAAATAATATTCTTACAGGTACAGGTGAGTGATACACTCCAAACTCTTGATCCCTGTGCAGAATGTATAGGATGATTCAATCTTTTACTCTTGTTAAAACTGCATACAGATAAATCTTGAGCTGTGAGTTCTTCTACATTTGTTGTGTTTTGAAACATCAAAAGCAGAATCTGAAACTGCATGAATATTGTTGTTGTGGAGAAAATAATGACATACCAAAAATATGTCAAGTTTCGATCATGGTAGCTCATGAAGGGGTGAAAACTTTCACTGAAAATTTGAAGGGTTTTCATAAAAATGTTACAGACATCATAATTTTAATACTGATACTTTGTTTCTAGGCGTGTACAGAGAGCATGATGCCTGCTGGCAGTAATGGGAAAACTGATATGTTTCCTGATTTGCCATTCACTTTAAAAATGAGAGATGAATACTGTGAAAAGAAATGGAATATTGTACCACGGAATGATTGGTTAAATGTCCACCTTTGGGGAAAAGGTAATTATTTAAGAAATATCATATCATGTATATCATAATGATTTGTTAAATATCCACGTTTGGGGAAATATTAATTAATTAAGATATACCACAAATGTCAACTAATACTTAGTTAAATTTCCACTTTTAGAGAAAGGTTAATAATTTAAGATATGTTATACCACAGATAACAAAATGATTGGTCAAATTATTTAAGATATATATTAGTGTCTAGTTTTAAATTTGAAAATTCTTTGTTTTTATTAATATAGTATATTAACTCATCGATCCACTTTTAGTTACAAAAAGTAATGCACAGTCACAACGAATTGAATTACCTTGACAACTTATGCAATTGGGTTCTGTCCCAATATTGAGTAACAGCAGTGTAACCTTCAAATCATTATTATATCTAATTATATCATTTCGATCAAATTAATGTTGATTTACAGCCACATAACTTACCTCAGTTTGCAGTACATGTAATGTATGTTTTATCATCTATTCTGTCTGTATACATTTTCTCTTTCTGTAGATATATTAACTGCAAGTAATATTGTGTTTGCTAATGGTAGTTTGGATCCCTGGAGGAGAGGTGGTGTACTGTCTTCACTATCTGACTCATTGATTGCTATTCTAATTGATGGTGGTGCCCATCACTTAGATCTGAGGTATAAAACGTGTATGGCTATTGATATAAAGTGTATGTTGCAAGAATGCCTATAAGTTTTGTCACCTGTATGTTTACCCCAACCCCCCAGAAAAACATGGCAGAAATCTGTACAGTAACAATTACCAGGCTATTTATATTTTTAAATTGTTGTTTTTCAAATTGATACTGTTCATACAATATCAATAGTAGAATGTTCTATATATTTCAATGATGATGCCAGATTTTGTTAAAGATATAATTCAGGGAAGTTTGTTGATTTGCATGCAATATACTGACAGAATTTATATTTCATGAATGAAATTGCTGTTATAAAAACCTATTACTTTATTACCTGATATCATAAAGTATTGGTGTGAAATTCACACCATGCAATGTTGAATCTTCGTGATTTCATAGTGATTGTATAACAGATTGTTAAAGCACATCATGTTTTATGGCTTTCCTTATTTGGGAATTATAGTTAATAATTATAATTAATAATCCATTTTTGTTGCTATTTTCTTTCTTCTTTTAGAGAAGCCAATCCTTTAGATCCTCGATCTGTGATTCATGCTCGACAGGAAGAAGTAAAATACATACAGAAGTGGATTGAACAATTCCAATAACAGTTTATGTTGTTATGCAACACCAAATAATTACGAAATATGGAATAATACACGGTTTAATACTCTTCATATTGTTGTTACAATTAAGTTTTTTAAAACAAATTATTTGTGGTCACTGCCATTGCTGAGTTGAGTTGAGATTAGTTGATAGGGACACTATTTTATATCATGGCCAAAATGAATAACTTGATTTATAGTTTTTGATGAAAGTAACTACATATTAAAAAACTTCGATATAAATTGTAAATTGCATTGAATTATTTCATCTCCAGGGGGTATATTCTTCAGAACAAATTAACTTTCCACATAAATTTGAACAGGTACATTAAACCATGAGTAATTTAATGATTTAAGAGTGTAAACAGATAATGTATCATGAACCAGTTTCTGAACAAATGCAAATACTGATTTAATAAATTTGATATTATAGGGCCAGGAATTTGATATTCTGCTTATCTCGTATATCTATTCACATACATAATACTATAACTATAATGCATGTAGCTTTGCTTTCATATTTATGGAAATAAATGCAATACTTCACTTTAAATTATGATCTTGTTTTTTATACTGTCATGCAAATTTACAATAACAATTTTTAATTCATATAATTCCAGCTATGTTTCTGTTTCTAGAACTGAGATTTTTCATACAATATTTGCATTTTTGAAGACAAAGTTGTTTGGCATGCTTTCTTGTGACTTTCGAGACGACTTTTCTAATTTTCCAACTTCACTATCATCACTATCCAACTGTCACCACTATTAGGATAAAAATATGATTATAATCACCGAAGTTCCAGCTCTTACTGCAGATTTTGATGGCACGTCCGTCGGTCACTTGACAAACATCAACATCCTGGGAAGAACCAATATAAAAAAAGACAAGTTTACAATTTTAGTAATGTACTTAGCTGAGTAAGGTAATTTGCTGTAGCCATGTCTTCAGTTTACTTGCCATTCGGAATCAAATAATGTGAGCTCGTTCCTTGGGAAGTAGACAGGTTTCAATATTTGTCTTTGGTACATACATTTAGAGTAAATTTGTTAAGCACCAATAATTTTGTATTTAATTTATGTCTAATTTATCATACAGTGTTAAGGCATTCTCTACGATTTTGATCTGGCACCATGCCTGTCATGTTATGTATGTTGCCGAGTTGTCCTATGAATAATTAGGATTGTTTTAGCATTACACACTTCCCTTATATGAGGTTCGATGGCTGTGCGTACAGTGTTTGCTCGATGATCTAGACATAACCCATATTTGTCCGAGTTATCAATATCCAACTAAGATCCATACAGCTTTTTTCATTGATTTTTAAGAACCAGCTCACTAATTTCAATGAGCCCCAATGCATAGATGTTGCGAAGAAAATCCATGACCTGATTAGTTTAGAGTTGAATCCGTACATATTAATTCCCTAATTTGCATAAATTTGACAACTAAATGATAGATCAAGAACCACTTAACAGAAATAAAACATATTTAGCTTTTCTACACGTATTACAAGCACCATTGACAGATTGACAGTCGTGCATAATAATTGCATTATTTGCGTAAGAGAATTTTCTGACATTCCAATTATACTTGGTGAATAGGTATACTGAGTCTCATTTCAATCCAAACCTAACGCACCTATATTAAAAGTAATAAGCTCATAATAAGTGTTGTATCCAAATTATGCAATGTAAAATTTCACATTCTCAAACCTACAAGCACCAACCTAACTAAAATGTGAATACCTAATAGATTATGTAGTATATTATTTTCCCCATACACCATTTATTTCTCATCAAAATAAATAAATATTGTTTTATAGCAATACAATGATTTTAGTGAACATCCAAGTTTGTTGATTTAATATCAGCTTTAAATATCAAATCTATGGAATTTGTTGAGTACTGCAGGTGGCATGTAAGATATTGTATTGGCAAGATGAAGCGTCTGCAGGATTATTAAGTTAAATTGAATTTTATTTCTTAAATTTATTAAGAAAACAAATGCAACAAGTTTTGTTTTGTGATCTATAGCTAGGTTCTTGAATTGAATTGAATGGCATTTGCTTGTCCTTTGTGCACTCTTTCAACCTGTCTTTGAAGTGCTGTTTCCAAGGATTGGCCCTTTATTACTTTTGATTTCTGTGTTGGTATCTGTTATCTCAACTATTTTCATTTGATATTATTTGTATGCCTACTTTTTTATTTCTAATTTAGTATACTTTGTTAATGTCAGATGTCAAGAGATTAAAATACCTGATGATAACTGTATGTGTTTTTAAATTCACAAGTCCACAACTGTTTTCGAATGCACTATTTATTTGGTTGCTTTGGTCACTGTGTTAAGCATTAACACAGAACTGGAACCATTTTAAGATACTATCACCAACACTTCATATGCAAGTTGTCTGCGCAAGGTTTTCTTTTCTGACACTAACTTTTATGAACAGATGACACACAACCTTCAGCAATAATAATGAACTCTACGAACTGTTCGTGCTCGCATCTTAAAACCATTTTCACGGTGGACAATACAAGAAAGTCACAAGATCTGAAAATGCGTTCAAATCTTCCCCAATTGAATGTCGATGGCTTGCAGAATATGTACAATCGAGTAGCATATGCATGCTTAATACTTGATTGATGCCAAAAATACACTACAGTTTTTAATACTATTATTTTCCCCATTGTATGTTTGTATATGAACAACCTATTGTGTAACATACATAGTGTATGATGAGAAATGTAAATTCAACCCCAATTTTTACTTTTTAAAAAAGGCATATTTAATTTGCAAATATTTGAAGAATCAATAATGTGCGTATGTAATCAGTGTGTGTTACCGTTGTACCAAAGTCAAAGATTTAAGCGTACATGTTCAATGTTTAAAATCGCCATTTTAAACCCATTGTCAAATATGTTCTGTTTAGTGATGTTTAAGCCTAATTGGAAGTTTATATCTTATTCCCCGTGCCTCATTTTTGTAGTGTCATATCATCAAGATATCGCTGTTTATATGAATATATATATACGTTTAGAAGTATGGAGTCATCGAAACATTTTTCGAGAAATAAGAGTGCAAAATTTTGAACTTTTTGGGGGGCTCGAAGAATAGAATTCTGCCAGCATTCACTATTGTCAAAACTACGAAAAGCCGATGATATATTTGGGTTATTATTTTTCCAGAGGTTTATTGGAGAAAAGATTGAACCGAAGTAGTTTAGGACACACTATAGGGACGACCATG